CGTCAAATTAAGATAAGTAACGTACTAAATATATAAGCAGCCTATTAGATCTGAATGGAACATTGTAATTGGTATCATTTCATAAATACGTGATTCATTACTGAGCAAAATGACAAAGCCAATACACAACCTAACTGTACGTGAGTAAAAGTTTTAAACTGTATGCAGCATCGTTAAAATCCACTCACCATTCCAGTCTGCGACTTGTTGTGATTAAATAACGAGATGTAACCGAAGGAAAAATTTGTAAATCCCTTATAAATGTTCCATTTCACTCGACTTATGATCCCTTTGATCTTTCACTCTGTCTTGTCTGTTAACTTTTGCCCAGGGCATGTGTAACCATGTTTTATATTTCGCACTCTTATTTGTCAACGATTTCATTAATCGAATTCGCGTTTTTATTCTTGATGTTGAAGATACGACTAGTATTCTGATTTTACAACCTGCTACCAGTAGCACCTTCTAAATGCGAAACTTTTCCTCAACCAATGGAAATCAGAAGTCAGATGAGAAGAGGTGGGAAATATATATTCGATACGTTATCAATATGTCGAGAAGCGTTTATTCTAAGCTGGCTACTTAACGTAGGAGCAGTGTCCCACGCTGGGTCGAAACGTGATCTGGTACGGATGCATGACCGAAAGCCTTCAGTTAAACAAGTCCACTCAAACAATGTGGTCAGCATTCAATGTCGAACACTTAGAAAGCTATTGATTTTGGGGAATTATTTACATCTACAATGTGATTTGTTTTCCTTGTTAAATTTGAACCTAATATATCAAGCAGAAAGTTGTGCCCTAATATATTTCAAAAGGTGAGTCAAAAGGGATTTTTAGGCTTTGCAAACGGATGCAGTTAACATAATCAAATGAACTTTGCTTCTTTGAATCAGCCTATTGTTTGGGAGCAAATGCCGAAATATTGATCATTGCACAGACATTTTTTAAACCAGAAAGCGGCCATTCTTGGATTATTCCTAGATATAATGGTAGTGGACGATACCTAACCATACAGAGTTCTCAATATGATAATGTCTTGGACAATTTCCCCTCCCACCTATTCTATAGAAAAACTGTTATGAGATTAGTGCAGACACAATTATAAAGATCCTCGGTACCCAGAGTGATTCTGTGGAATTATAGCCTACTTTGTTAATAATACTGTTTTAATAATAGACCTAATTTTAAAATTATAAATTTGTCATGATGTGACTATCTGATCTATAAGATCTTACGCGGAAGTCACTTCATTGTCTACACTGACTCGTATTATCGTCATCAACAGCAATATATAATACAGAACACATTCAGGTTGGAGATAGAACAATATATTTAATATGAATTAAAGCGATAGGACAGCATACAAGAGTGACCACTCCTGCAAGACTGAGATATGGCATCCGATTGGATTTTGTTGGATCCCGTCCTCCCATTTTCCTCATAGTTGGGTTTTCCTCTGTGTTAAATGTTGAGTATCAATTTACCCACTTGTCTCGTGTTCAGCTTTGAGAAATGTGTGGTTAGGGTCCAATGCCACTAACATTACACAAAAAACCCAAATCTTCTGACATTCATAGTGATAAACGAAGACTCGAACATCCATCTGCCTTTGGTTTCAGTTCGTGCTGAAGATGTGAAAGGAATAGTAGATCGTGGATTCTCAGATCATTTCCCGAAAATTTCGACAACAGAGGAGAGTGAGTGAGGTAACACAATCATTTTTGACTGCATAACCATCAGACTATGCCTTTAATATTTCAGAGTCATAGAGAACTGTGTTTTGATAACTAGAGAAATCATGTTATGTAAACCCCTGTTAAATGCAAGGCATTCAAAAAGAGGGTTTTGATTGTTCACTTCTTTGTTTTTCAAACAATATGTTGTAAAATGTGCATATATGGTTGTCCAAAACCAACCACTGCACTTACTCACCAGTGTACGGAAAAATATATTATGCGACGATTTGATTTTTTATAGGATCGATTGATTTGTCTCCGGCAATGAAATCCAAGACGAGAGTCCTTTCCTATTTTGGATTCATCGGCAGGACGTACTTTTATTCCGTTGTTTACGTTTACTATGTGATTCAAATTGATCCTTTACATTTGTTGCTAACTAAAAAATGTTGTCTACCATAGTAAAAAAATGCGAATGTAACTAATAAACTACGTACTATTTTCGTGCCGACAAGTAACTCTTGTTCCATTGATAGAAGAAACCAGACTAGTGGTAGATAGATTTTTATTTAGCTCGTGGAACAGTCACAGTGGAGCGGGAGGTTACGTGTTCAGACACACAAAGCTAAGTTGTTACATTGGTTTCCCCCTAGAATCGAATTCCGTAGGAAAGTCGGTTCGATCAATCAATCTATCAAGAACACCTACGTTCTGTTTCCACAGCCCAAGTCAAAAGCGATAACTTGATTATTGTTTAGCTTTCAGCCAATGATGACCAACTCCGTCTGCACTCAACTATATTCCGTGGATGTCTCTTCCTTTACTAGCTTGTTATCTTATCTCGTAGCATTTAATTTTCTCCACAATTGCCGCTGATGATTTGTTACGTGTCCTCTGTATGCTGATCACAGCTTGCAAGAGAAAAGAGGGTAAAGAAATGAAACAAAAATATCTAAGGACGTGCCGTGTTTCGGCTACTCAACACCATGTTGGTGAGGTACAGTTTTCTCATGCTCTGTGTTTACTCACCTTCCTCTCGAGTCGCCCTCAAGTGAAAAATAAAGAAGTATCTACTGCAAAAAAACAATGAGAAAAGCCAATCATACCTGGAGAACTGCTTCACTGCTTGTGTAAAATAATAAGGCACAAAAAGGAAAAACATAAATATAATTGATAAATTTGAAAGGACCTTCAAACGGAGAGCTAAGCAATGCACTTATTTTTTTCACACCGTATCTAGACGTGTGTGCGGTTGCTTATACCCTTGGGTACATATGTCGCTCGTGAGCATTCATGGGTATTGATTAGTTTAATTTTGGACATATGGTTACGTAGTTGGTCTATGTAACTTTCTGGATCAAGTTTTTCATTGTCAGTGTGAGAGTTAATAAACTCACCCCGTAGCCTCAGAGTCGTTCCGAAAACTAGTTCCACTGATGAACACTGTAAGTCAGTTTTGACAGCTGTTCATATTCTCATCGAAACAAATGGCAAGAATTCTGCCCACTGAGTGGGGTTTGAGTGTTCTATAAGTGTGGTCTTTGGTTGACGATGGAGACGTTCTATCATCCCATTAGCCTGAGGTTGATATGCAGTACAAAGTATCCTATTGGAGTCTAGAAGTTTGGTTAAGTTGTAAAATAGTTCAGATTCAAATTATGCTCCTCTATCCGCCGTTATTGTTATAAGTGTGTCGAAAATGGTTACCCTGTACTGCATGCAAACCCTGGCCACTGTTTCGACTGTCATGTCTGTTATCAATACGACTGTAGGGAATCTCATTGGTCGATCCATATATGCAAACAGATAATTAAAGCCGTTTGAATGCTGTAAAGGGCCTACTAAGCCTACATGCCCATATATATATATATATATGGCATTGATTAGTTTAGTCGAAGCTTATGCGCCAGGATGAGACAAGGAATGGAAATTAGTAAATATTATTTTCGCATGCTTTTGGGTACGAAAGGTTGCGGTATTACTTTAGCGGTTTCACAGTAAATCGGAATATCGTCAATAGGCGATGATAACTGCTTTAGTTTGACATTAGGGTTGTTTGTTGTAAGTTTCGAAATTTTTGGTCCTCATCATGTTTGTCTCTCAACGTCTCGAAATTTACTGTATACTGTTGCATTACGCTCATTTCTAATCGAGATAATGCATCTGCTGCCTAATTTTCCTGACCTTTGACATGTCGGATATCACTTGTGAACTGTGATATATAGTCAAGGTATCAGCTTGAGGTATGAGAAAACTATTATAAAATGAAATATTACAGTCTCAAATGATATCAAAAAGACTAAGAAAATGTAAAACTAAAGAAACCAATAAGAACTAGTTGAAAATGTATGCACGGAGGGATTGTCACACACATAACCTTCAAAATGGATCTTACAATCGGTTCCCGTAAACGTAGAGTCTGCTAAAATAAATACTCTACTACAAGAATGTGGATTGTCGCAATCTTGGTGTGTAACAAGAAGATTACGTAAAGCACAGACTAATCTAATGTTTGCTATCTAGCTTGGGTTCCACTTATTTAGAACACGACCAAGTTGTATCTCTTCATTTTCGCAGCTATGTTTTGGTCCTACAGGTCTCTCACATTGTCTGAACATTCCATATACTTATATTAATTGTTACTCTGGTTGTTAGAAGGGACATTGTCTTTGCAACTTTCGAAGAATCTCGGCTTTCACCATCAGGCGTCATAGTTTTTCTAAATGAAAATACTTCAGCTTCCACAGCAGAGTTAAAATTATTTTTCCGGTCAGTGTTCTTCAGAAAGATTGTTTTCGGTGGGATGGGATTGTTGACCCCATGCCCAACCCAACTCTTTTAACCGGCATTGACCCTGGAAGAGTTACAAGCTCATCCTGCTTGACGACAGTTAGACGAAAAAATTAAACGTTTATGTTAACATTTCGATAATGGTGCTAATATAGACTACACACTTTATACATTACTGTACCTGAAATTGAATAGAAACGAAGTCACTGGAAAACTGTAATTTTTACTCATGACTTAACTGTGCTCAAGCTTATTCTTTATACAGCATCACATGTGAAGTATTAACATTCCCATATACTTCCTTATTTTTCATCTTTTAGAAAATACTGCCCAAAAATGATCTCTGTTTGAGGAAAAGATTACTCTCCCCAAGTATCTGTGTTTCTTCAAATATATTCATATTTCCCTATAATTTGCTAACATAGGATCTCTATTAATCTCCTAACGAAACAACAAGAGTTATGTAGAGAAAATCATCAAATCACTAGTTAGCATCAGATATAGTTTTATTTTCAACAAAAGATTAATTATGTTAAATTTTAGGTAAATCTTGATTTTTTGCTGATTTTAAATCTTTTAAATAGTTTTCCAGTAGTTTTAATTCTTCAGGTTTCAGTTTTTCAGATTGTTGTGCACCATTGTCATTATTATGCATTGTTTTTCGACCAAAGGTAGACTAAAACAATAAGAACAAGTGACACGAAATTAGCAAACCATTCCTGTAATCGTCAGAAGGGGTTTTTGTAGAGATTTAGTATTTCCATAGTTGAAAGCGTGGGTCAATTGAAGCTAGACCACCAGGGACGAAGCGGCCGTGCAGTGCTTCCAGATATTCCCTTATGGTCTAGCTTTAATTGAATCACGCTTTCAACTATGAAAATTCCTGTAATCCTACGAAATTAATTTAAAAATAAAGTGTTGTGTATGAAAGCAAACCATTGCTAGAATGGATTTTTAATTATTTATGATGTGGACCGATATTACTCAGATTTATCGTCAAAACAATGGCTGATAGCTTATGAAGAACGATCATCCAGGATCGAATGCATTTGTTTTATTGAGTTCATAAAGCGATCCACGTTAGCCAGCCATAGAAAATTACGAAGCACTGGAGGCCTATTACGTCCCAGAATGAGGTACCTCAGAAGTTAACATCTATGACTCCACAACCAGGGGTAGAACCCAGGAATTGAGACCTCGAGCGCTTTTACTTAAGCCAAGATGCAGTGTTATATTCCTCCAGGACTGATTGAAGTCGTACTTGTACAACATCTGACCCCAGTACATGCGAAATCTAAAGTACTAGGTTCAACTCCTGGTTGCCGAGTTGTGGATGTGCTCTACGGAGGACTCTAATACTGAGACAAAACAGCTGTTTCATAACTCTGAATCCCTAGTGATTGCCTAAATACAGTCAGACCGTGATATGAATTATAAAAATTCAACAATCTACACAAACCCATTAGATTAAAAAAAGACAACGTTAGGAAACGCTAACAGAAAAGTGGGAAAAATAAAAGAAGAGTCCAGATAAATATAAGAACCTGAAAGGAATATTGATACTTACTTTTGAGTTCACATTAAGTACTTGTTCAATTGTATATGGTTGGAAATCCAATTTGGTCACTGAATTACAATCAAGTTTAATAGCTGGTTTGGTATAAGCCGATGGTTCATGTTTGAATGATTTCGGTTTTGGATTTGTCTGTTGTTATAAGAGAAAAAGAAAAAAAATAGTTACAAATTCGAACTTTTCACTGACTTATTTTGAATGAATAATCGATTTGAAGATCTTAATAATTTAAACTTGTAACCATCACAAAATTGTGTATCCGTTTACATATTTCTGATATAGGCTATGTTGTAGGGGTTCGTAATAAGACTCAAAATGGGTATTTCAGATTATTTAAAACTTGTCTGGAAAAATATTAACATTGTTAGTACCTGACCTATTCCTGCAGAGATCAAAACTAACTTTTAACTACATATAACCTATTACTAGGCTACTGAGCTAAATTATGTACCTTCTATTGGGTAAAATAATTTATCATAGTTTAGATATTTCAAAACATATGTCCGTCACTCCACTGTTACCAGTTGTTAAATAATACACGTGATTAATCTAAAGAGGACAATAAACATAATTCAATAACATAGATGAGTAACTTCCTAACTTCTAACACAATTGATCATACACAGATCAAAGCAGTTCACTAGGATATAAGGAAACCAGTTCAAAAACTTTCATTAGTGAGATGACGATTATTTAGTTTGCTTGAGGAGTTATTTTCATTTTGAATGTGGATGCTGATAGCTCTGCATAAATTTGGAAAATGTGTGACATTGGATTATAGCTTATCACTTTCACAGTATTATGATTGCAGCGATTTCTAAATGCCATAAGTGTGATTTCATGTGGAATTATGCATGTGATCTGTTGAGGAGTCTCAATCTAGGGCAAACATATTTCCACTTAACCTTGGTTACTACCGGCGGTTTCCTAGGTACTTTCCACCCATGAAATGAACTAATTTTAAGATGTTTTTATGGAACATTTAGCTAATGTAGAAGTAATTCTAACATGTTTAATAGATGTTTGGTCAAGTTTTATCACCATTATGGGAAAAGTAAAAATCTAATTAGATTAATAATCAGTCAAACAGATAGGAAACTGTAATTCATTGAGAGTATAAGACAGATAGTGATCATTTATTGGAAAATAATTATAATCTACATTGTTGAATGTACACTACAAATTAGTCGAATTCGCTGACAGACTATAATTTATGGGCGACCTTTGAGCGACTCCAAAGTGACCTTGAGAATGTTCACCAACTTACTAGAGCTAAATGAGTGTTATACACTTGTGTGAGGAATTAAAATTAGGATTTACAATTGATGGTTAAAGTTAGAAATTAGATTAAGTGTTTTCATCACGAACTGACATTAGATAAAATGTCAAAACTCTATTTAGCCTAACAGATTAATTTTGTAACAAAATCTAAGACCTGCTATCTTATATCTGATTGGTTCATCTATAAATCATAGTCTTGCTCATAGTTTCAAATCAGAGCATTAGATCAACATCTAAATGTATAGTACAAGCTTTTACACGAGTCAATAAAGCAGTTTTAACAAGATAACAAAGGTGATATATCTTTTGCAAGCTGATATATGCACTAAACTGTCAATGGTCAATCTCCAGGTTTTGAGTAAATGTAATTCATTAAACAAATCCATTTAAATACAATAATCCCAACAAATTATCTTTCATTTGTGAGGTAAACGCAATATTTAAAAAACTTATTAGACTGACAAACCTTGGCATCATGACCTTGAAATTGATCACGCTGTTCTGTATGAAAAGATATATCGTTTGTGTCGCGTAATTGAATTTGTGCTTTTGGCGGTTGACATGGATGTGGTACAACTGAACACATTGGATCAACACTATTCCATGCACGTTCTGGAGGAAAATCTGCACGAAATTGAGTTTCACCAGAAAATGGTTCACTAACACGTGGTTTTTGAATAATTGGTATCTTAAATATTGAAAAAAAGAGTTATTTTCCATGATGGAAGATTGAAACTATTCAGTGATATTGTTAAACAAGTCAAGTATATAATTGTTTGTTTAAATTTACGGTTGAACAGATGAATTCTTATAATTAGATATTATGGTTTTCGTTTTACACTCAACCTATTCAGAAAAGAACTGACAGTCGATCCTTTATATGAATAATAAATTTAAATTATAATGAATTCTTTATATAAACAGAAATGGATGATGGCTAACAGTGGAATCCAGGGTGAGCGTCTCGTTCTATTTGAGATTCGTTACCCGGATTTACCCACATCCCAGATTTGATGTTCATTCCTGGACCCGAAAATTTCATTTATCTGGGTAGCATCATCAATGAACAAGGAAGATAGCATGCAGACGTAAAGGCGAGGATTGGCAAATAAAGAACAGCATTACTAAAGTTGAAGAACAAATGGAACTCAAAACAACTTCAAACCAGTATAAAGTCAGAATTTCAATACAAACTTCAAGACAGTTCTACTAGGCGGAGCTTAAACTTTCAGAACTACCACAACCATCATCAAGAGAGTACAAGTAATTATAATCAATTGTCTACACTAGATACTCAATGTCCGCAGACCGGACACCATCAGCAACAGCCTACCCTAACTTGGAATCCTCAAGGGAAACGAAAGGAGGAAGGCCGAAAAACACACTACGTCGAGAATTGTAAACAGACATGAAATGGATGAATTGCAACTGGAAAGAACTGCTCAGGTCAGATTTGGATGGAGAGTGCTCGTGAGCGGCCTGTGCTCCTCCACGAGGGGTAGCAGGCGTTAGTAAATAAGCATGAAAATGCAAGATGATTTCTGACTATAATACATTGTTTAAAAACTGTATACGGTCTGCTTGATTAATAAAGAAAGTGACAGAATTCAGACGATTATGTGAATTACTACTTATATTACTCATAAATGATGCAATTCAGTAATATTTAAATAAAATACATTTTAATACGTCGTATATGTGACCTTTCATGTAATCCTCGGATAAAAATATTGTTTTCATGAATCTTTGACCAAGAGGTTGCAAAAGTATTTGTCATTTTGTAAAGAACGACTAGTATTATTATTAGTAGTAGTAATGTGAAAATATTAGGTCCTTTACTCCTACCATTTATTGAAATACACTATGTTGATGTAAACATTTAGTGACGTAGAAATCTAAAACTAGAGTTTCATCTTATTTGGAACTCATCAGCTAGATATACCTCCATCCTATTGGCGTTCACACTTAGATTGGACTTTAGTGCCTATCGTTTTAAATTCTATTGAGTGCAGATGGATACCAACTTATTTGGTGAACATAATAAACATTGTCATCTATTTACTTGTGAATATCAGCACAAGGATGGAGGCTGATTCAGGTGACAGGTCACAAATAGGACGAAACGATAGTCTTGGTTTTCATCGTTAGACATAATTCAACAACAACGTAGGACGTTTTGCTTATTTACTATCGTATTCTCGAATTTAATCTTTAATTCTAAAGCTTACTAAAATCAGTGTTACATAATATCCAGTGATGTGTTCAAATTTGAAATACAGTAATGTATCTATAAACTCTTATTGTATTACAGTTCTAGTAAGCGATGTTAATACATTTTGAGAGCTATTACGATAAAACACTATTCAATTACTATTTACCTTTAATCTACGTACAGGACAGTTTGTTATCGGTTTGACTCGAAAAGATAGGGACACTCGTCGCTGCCTCTTCGTCGTCTTTGCCTACTCTCCCACTGACTGCAGCTCAGATGACGCAAAAGATGAGTTTTACAGAAAGCTTTCCAACCTTCTCCAACACGTGTTACGCATGCCCAACCATCGACTGCCCTGACGTGCAATGTTTTATGACGTATGAGTAGGTTGGAAGAAAGCTGGAGGCTGCCAGACCAAAACGTGGCACAAATCCATGAAGTCACTGACAAGTGGACTGAGTCATGTTCGTAGGTGTAGACTATCTGGTTGGCATTTGCGAGATGATAGCAATCGATGGTTAGAGACCTTGAATCACATGGCTCAAAATCGTTTGCAGTGGTGAAGGAGCATCCACTCTTTGTGTTCTACCAAATTCTAATCTTCTGAATTCTTCATGTCCCTATCCTTTTTCTCTTTCCAAATTTATTTCACTGTATTATACTCCTTGACTAACATCTTCAAACCCTAATCTTTCAGATTACTGCTTATACTCTTACTACTTCTACCACTAAGGGATCTGAATCGACAACTGCATCTCTGTGCTGATGTTGTATGGCAACTCGAACTGATGTACGTACGTACGAAGTTCTACGTTGTGACTAACTGACTGAATATTCAATGACGTGTTCAAATTTGAAATACAGTAATGTATCTATAAACTCTTATTGTATTACAGTTCTAGTAAGCGATGTTAATACATTTTGAGAGCTATTACGATAAAACACTATTCAATTACTATTTACCTTTAATCTACGTACAGGACAGTTTGTTATCGGTTTGACTGTGTAAACACTTTTATTTGTAGTTAAAAAATCTCGTTCACCTTCAACACGAAGATTTGTTGGTACCGGTTTTGCAGGTTCCGTATAAGTGATCTAAAAAAAAGACAATCGTTGAATGTAGAATTAAATTATGAATGCCATAAAAAAAGAGATTAAGTGATCATACATTTGCTGATTAAAATGTAATCCAAGTTCTAGTGTAGTTGTTATATCTAAAGTTTAGATTCTTGATATATCACGTACAACATCAGCACTCGAATGATAGAACCATCCAACTAGCAAAATAAGAAGAAAATCACAACTGAAAGGAATGCTATTCCAACAGTGTCAAATATACTATAAAACTCTCAGTTATTTATAGTCATTCAATCCGCGTACAGCGGTTTTTAGGGAAGCTACACGTCGAGATTCTGGGATTTTCATCCAATAGATGATTGGATGGAATGTCTTCGGCTGTTTCTGAGCTTTCTTGAGTTCACTTGTGGGCCGTCATCACAATAGTGAATGAGAACACATGCATTTCCTTTTCGATTGATGATAGATACTACTTATATCTGTCGACATCGGTAGCACACATCACAATGAATTTTTTCGAGGAGCAAATATTTTGAGTCCAAGTAATACGACAAAGCATATAAGAAAACAACATTATTTTTAGTTACATCTTTATCAAGATTAATATTGTCTGTTAAAATGGAAATCCAAAAATTCTGGTGACAAATAAAACGTGAATGAAATATCCAAATAAGTAGGTAATTTCACCGGACGTATATGATTTACTCAAACGTTGCTGCTACCTTTCGGTGGTGTTCGGGCTTGCCTATCGTGATGAGCCAATCGAGCTATACTGGCTGGAACAATCGTTCCTCAGGGTCCTACCATGCCAGACAGGTCGGTTGAAAAGCGGTAAGACTAAAAGCAGCAATCCCAAGGTCCGAAGGTGAAGTCGTATTGCTGACTGTACAGAGGTGTGACGGCAGTAAGGTGTTTCCTTCAGACAACCAGCATAACAGCGATGCTGCCTTCCCACAGGGAGGGGTGGGGTTAGAAAAGGTCGACCCTAAAATGCACACCTCACCTTATCTCACGGATATCCATCTCCGGTGGTAAGGTCCCAACAAGTACGGAGCTAACACAAAAATTACCCACAAAAAGGTTGTGTGTGACCGATCTGAAGCAGTTGTCCCTTTGGCACTGCGGTCACGCTCTCAGGTCATTAAGACCACTTCTAACCCGATTTCCTTTTGAGGTACCTCTAGAAGAACCTTTCCACAGTGTGGGCAACCGGGAAGTGGCAACTGCCCTCATACCCTACCATACCTCTAACTAGATGAAATATGCCCCAATCCTATAGTCTACCTCAATTACACAAGACAAAATATTGTATTCTATCTATTTTATTTGTCTATAGTTTGTTTATATAAAAAAACTGCATAGTGGATAGTTCAAATCTCAACACTTCAACATAAATTCGTCGTAAACGGGAGGCGTTAAAGATATTCTTTGCTTTTATTATCAAAATGGATGATAAGAGTAAGAACTATCTTTTGATTTACTAATAAATAGCTAATCAACATAATCAGATTGATATCGAAAAAAACATCAGAAAAACAAAGAAAGAGGTAGTAATCAATAATACATATCCAAGATGAATTAATAGAATAACAGTAGGCTCATCAATATACCAAATAATAGTTGACTTTATTTGACAAAATTAGAAAATAGACCTGTCAAGAAGATTATGGAGAAGAAAGATTCATTCTGTAGCTTTAGAGATGATATATTCCTTATTGTAGATTAGAATATAAGTAAACAAAAAAAGATTTAACCAGTTTATCATTGTACACTGGAATTTCGTTTCTTAAGAAAGAATCTGACAAAAAAAGTACACTTTTTTGACATAGAAAACATCCGGGAAGACATGACACTAAACAGCAATGTGCATAAAAAGGGCTTCTCTTTATGTTAATACACACATCTTTAAATTCATATATGTCAGATAAAGATCTAATTTAAAACAATATTTTCCATTGATGTTTTCTAATTTTCAAACTGGAGATTTTTAATATTAATGGTAGATTTGATTCTCTAGTAGATCGAAGCGAATGTACAATCATTGTGTTCTCAGAAAACGGTTCATTACATTCTAATCATTCTATTATTGAGTTGAGTCCCCAAATGCCCTGGTACGACCGAGGGTAGGGAAAGTCAGCTCTATTATTCGAAATTCTTTCACGTGGTCACATGTATACAGCCACTGACAGGGAAGTCCTACTCACTTCCTTCTCTTGGTATTACTGTTGTTTACGAAATTAAGAGGACGAAAAACGAATGTCCGGTGCTTTAACCGGGTTAGTGGATACGAAGGGTCCATCTAGGGGAGTTGGAAAACCCTCATTCGAAACAAATAGTGCACGTGGGTTCCAGGATCCTGAGGTATAAACCAATTGTCGGTCACCGGCTACCATGGGAATGAATCTCCTGACATTGCTCCACTGCCTTGTGGATTAGACCTTTAGGTCGAAGGCTCCGGGTGTGACCCTTTAAGAAAACCACCTGCTTCGGTTTGGGCATCCGGGCGGTATCACAGCCCACACACAGATCAAGTGACGTGTGTGACACAAATGTATTCAGCGCTCCTCTATACCAATATTATAATAATTTTAAATTCATTAAAAGTAATAGATTAAAAATGGCACAGACAAAGAGAGATTTTAACATGTTAAGCAAATGGATCTGATGCATTTGAAATAAATATCCTCAAATAATACACAATGAATTTGATTAGATAAGTTTTTGGATGAATCTACAATTCACTGAGAAAAACAATACTCTTGACTAGAAATTAAAAGTCAGTTGCAACAATACGAATTTGAAAATAAAATTCACTTAGTATTGTTTAAATCTTCCCATTGATGTTTAGGACTGCAACTGGTCAGTCTCTAATTGACATACGTGCATACTGTGCGCATTGCCTCGATATAGCCTAAATTCACAATCATTGTAAACAAAGATGGATAGTGGCTAGCAGTGGAATCCAGGAAATGCGTTTCGTCTTATTTGGGGCTCGTCAGTTGGATGTACCTGCATCTTACAGTTGATGTTCAATCTGGGACTCGAACCAAGTAGCTTTCGCTCCAAACGCCACCGCGTTATCCACTCAGCTACTGAGCCCTGATAGCCACTTGCTTGTGCAAGTACCATTATCATTATATTCAAACTCTTTATTTTATGATTCATTTGGCATGAAGCTAGTTCTTTTTCTGAAACGACATCAGCTGATAAATGTGTTAAAATAGGAAGAAAAATATAATCTTGTTTCATTTTAATTTGGTGATGATCCACAAACCCACAGTAAAGTCAATCAAATTCCGTAGTAACCAATATATATACAGTTGGATGTTGGATTAAAATGCAACAATCCACATGATAAGATGATAGAAATTTTTAGCTCGAGCGTAATATTTTAGAAGTGTTTCGTGTTCTCTAAGTTGTTGGATGGCTTAATCCCGTTTTTGTCTAGTCAATAGAACAGGTCGTGTGAACATTCATAGTAAAAATAAAATGGTTCCTTTGTGGAAATCTACTTCTCAGTGAAATTTACCAACTAATCGATACTACAACTAATAACTTCTCACTATACTTTAAAGAAATGCAGTTTGATAATAGTCATTTTTTTGAATGCACAATCATTACATAACTAGACAGTTTGTAAAGAATTTTCTATTTTGAAAAACACTTAACTGTGTTATTGGGTAAACAGTCTTGTTTACGATGAGCATCAGATCTGAACGTAGAAGTGAGATCATTTTCTCGATATTCTATTCTGAAAAGCCCTGAGAGCTTTTTGTAGTAATGATACTGAGGTGTGTGCTACTTATCTCGACATAAGTAGTATATATCGTGAGTCAGAAGTAGAATATCTGACAATAGAAGAACATAAACAGAAATTAATTGGCTTGGAGATGAGGAAACAGTGAAGTCTGAGACGACGTATGGACATTTGCAAATGAACAGTCAAGTTTGATTGGAAAGGAAGCGGAAAAGAGGAAGGCCAAAGAACACATTACTCCAGGAAATAGAAGCAGATATAAAAAGGATGAATAACAACTGGAAAGGATTCCCCATGACAGAGTTGGATGGAGAATGCTAGTGTGCGGCCTACGCTCCTCGACGAGGGGCAACAGGCGTAAGTAATTAAGTATGAAGTTTGGTTCTCAGATTTTACTAAGGTGTTCTGTAATTTAGTGTTGAAGTAGATTCGGTTATCCCCACTGGTATTTGTGTTCACTCCAATACTACTTAGATTCATTTCTAAATTCAATATTGATGGGTGTTTTGTTAAGTTACCTTAATTCGTTTTTTATTTACTTATACACATAAATAAAATCACAGGTTATTTTCGACAATTAAGTAATACCCTTACTAACTCATATGTAATTAGTTAAACTTTCAAATTAATCATAACTAGGGGTAAGTATTTTTATTAAGGTTTGACTTTAAAGTTTTAAATAATGTAAGGATTGTAGCCACTGGTTAGAGAATTTGGATGATAGGGGTAAAATCTATGGTAGGTACACTTACTACTTGTCTTTCTTTAGATCCCAAGTTTCGTAATTAGTTTAATGATTTCTTTCTATTCCCTAAACCCATATTTTCATCTCAAATCATATCATTTAAGTCAAAAATGTTCTACTAACACTAGTACTGTTACTACGTATATTATTCTGGGATCCAGATGTGTTTGTGTGGTGTGGTAACTTCAATAGTTACACATGAGAGATTATTGGAGTTTGAATCCCGAAATGTATTGATCTTAATAATTTAACTACTGAACATTTCAATAACTATGAGACAGTATTTAGTTTTACAAAAGTTTAAATCTATGAAATCAGGTTAATACCCCATTTAAATACTGACTTTCTTACTTACGCCTGTTACCCCTCGTCGAGGAGCATAGGCCGCTCACCAGCATTCTCCATCCAACTCTGTCCTGGGGAATCCTTTCCAGTTTTTATTCATCTTTTTCATATCTGCTTCTATTTCCCGGAGTAATGTGTTCTTTGGCCTTCCTCTTTTCCGCTTCCCTTCCGGATTACAAGTTGGGGATTGCCTCGTGATACACATTCGTGATTTCCTTAATGTATGTCCGATCCACTTCCAATGTCTTTTCTTAATTTCCTCTTCAGACGGAAGCTGGTTTGTCCTCTCCCACAGTAGACTGTTGTTGATAGTATCCGGTCAGTGGATGTTGAGTATCTTACATAAACAACTGTTTATAAATACTTGTACCCTTTTTGACGATGGATGTAGTAGTTCTCCATGTTTCAACTTCATACAGTAGGACTATCTTGACGTTCGTATTGAAGATTCGCACTTTGAAGTTAGTTGACAGTTGTTTTGACTTCCATATGTTCTTGAATTGTAGAAATGCTGTCCTTGCTTTGCCAATCCTCGCCTTTACATCTGCATCAGATCCTCCATGTTCATCAATGATGCTTCCCAGGTACGTGAATGTTTCCACCTCTTACAGAGTTTCGCCATCAAGTGTGATTACCCATTTAAATAAACACATCATATAACATTTGTGAAAATACTTTGAAAGAAATATAACTTTACCACATATACAATCTATTGAGTACACATTATTGAAGCATCTACAGTTGACATCATTTCATAGTGAACATTAATGAAATAACACAATCAATAATAAAGAGAAAAAGAAAACATACTGGCTTTTCAATAAATGTTTCATGTGTTGTACTTTGTAATCGACGACTTTGACCAGGATATAAAATTGAATCTGTGAAAACAGGCATTTCACCAAATCTTAAAATTGGTTGACCTATTGAAACCTTTGATGATTCATTAACATTATTATCCGTTCTATGACAAAATGTATTTCTATATGTTGTCAGTGTACTAAATGGTGCTTCAACATCCAAATTTGTTAAACATCGATGTAATTGATTCTTACTATTCTGTTTTAATGGATCATTATTAGATTTATCAATATGTGAATTCCTTAGTTTCAATATAAATTGTTTAGTTTCATTAGGGAAACATTTTATCAACGATGACAGTTCTTCATCACCATTTACATCATCCACGAGGATATCCACTTCATTATTATTATTCATTTCCTTAGATTTTAAAACACTATTCATTGTTTAATTCTAGTGTTCGAAAAGGAATACTCTGTATTGAATGCTAATGATTGTTATCAAACAGAGAAGTGTATTGAATTAGCGAAACTGAATAATTTAAACAAATATCTCTTTATTTAAAGAAAGTTTAATATGATAAACTTTCAGGTCATTGACAGCATTAGCAACCGTGAACAACCAATTAAATTGTGTTACTGCATTTTTACTGTTATAAATATATATGTACGTATGTATGTATTCACGAATCTTTAATTTCGTACTAATTCAAATTAAATATTTGAGTTTCATCAGTAGTTCGTCTTTCTAGAATCAGTCAGTCACAACGTAGAACTTCGTACGTACGTACATCAGTTCGAGTTGCCATACAACATCAGCACAGAGATGCAGTTGTCGATTCAGATCCCTTAGTGGTAGAAGTAGTAAGAGTATAAGCAGTAATCTGAAAGATTAGGGTTTGAAGATGTTAGTCAAGGAGTATAATACAGTGAAATAAATTTGGAAAGAGAAAAAGGATAGGGACATGAAGAATTCAGAAGATTAGAATTTGGTAGAACACAAAGAGTGGATGCACCTTCACCACTGCAAACGATTTTGAGCCATGTGATTCAAGGTCTCTAACCATCGATTGCTATCATCTCGCAAATGCCAACCAGATAGTCTACACCTACGAACATGACTCAGTCCACTTGTCAGTGACTTCATGGATTTGTGCCACGTCTTTCTGGAATAGCTCATTTGAACAATAAACTAGCTCTGCGTAATCAACGATCTATTGTTGTTCCACATTGAAATATCTTAGTTATTTGTAAATATCATTACCAAGTTTTGATTTGATAATTCTGACACGCGCCAAAAGACATGAGGTACACAAAGAAACCTCCTTAATAATCCTGTAGAACTGGATAGACTTCAAATCAAATCGGCAATAGCAGTTCATGCCATTTTCAACAATCATTAAATTGATCTCAAAATACCACAAAAAGATTTTTTTCAAATTACAAAGAAAGGAGAGTAGCTGAAGCGTTCCATATAATGCTTAATCCTACTACTGTCAATCGAAAGGAATGTCCCACCATACATCCTACTTGGACTATCTATGCTAATCTGATATTATTTACAATTCACATCATTACATGACAAATTAAACTCTTTCCTTTGTCTTTATGAAGGTCACACATCATTAACAGTGTACACATACACATTTACATACCATTTATGAATCACCCTGATCGAAATGAAATTGATTTATTCGGTCCTGTTTTTTGATTGATCACACCTACTATTCGTGTTGTTCCGTTGTACTATTTAAGCTTGGATTAATGTTAATTTGGTTATTTATTCTCTGAAGAAGTGGCTTACACTGAGTCACGAAACGTCAAAAAATCTAAATTTTCTACTAACTGAGATATTACAAATATATTATTTATACCTTAGTTATTATTGCAGCGCATTTGGTGAAAGTATTTGACTTTCTGCACTTAACATCATGAAATGATATTACTTGAACTTTGGCAACGAAAGAATATAGAAGGAAGTTGTTTTATCCTGGTACGGGATTGCTTCGTAATAACCATTCACGACTTAATCGGAAATTGAAAAGACGACCTTCAAGTTTTCTAGTGAACGTTTAAACATTAGAGCAACTTGGGTGACTTAGTGAAAATGTTTCTTAAGTTCTAGTAAGAATTCATGTGCGGTTTCTAATATTTAACTACCCAAGTTCATTCTGTAATATCAAATCCGACAATCTTCACAAACATCCTATACTCATAATAAACATGTACACCAGTAACTAATGTAAAAGTGAATTGCCAGTAATCTGGTGAGTAGACATTAACAGAGTAGTCCAACCGTGTTTGGTACAAAGTAAGTATCCGTCCACCAACGGAAATGAATGATGGACTTTTGATAACACGTATCGATAGAACTTAGTAAAGTAAAGCGTCAGTTATTGACTAAAAGCTCAACTCAAATCCTTTATTTAAAATTTGATCTTTGTATGAAAGCTTGATGCACTGTTACGTCGCGAAATATTGCGATAGGACTAAGTGAATTTCTACCGATTGACCAAATTCAGATATGCTAGTACAACCCTAATACTGTTCCCCAACTTCAATAAATCAGAACACAGCCGTTAAATGAGAATTGTTTATGGGGTCCGAAGCAGATCGAAAATCATTTACAGACAAGGCATATTTATACAGTTAAGATGACTATGAACAGTAACCAATGGAAAGAAAGGTTATAATAATTAGGGCAACTCCAAATTGACCAATAGGAAAACGACACGTGAAAGTCATAGTTAGGACAACTGTAAATAATGACCAATAGGAAATAACATGCGAAATATGTGGAAAGTTTGAAAACATACCACTTTACGTTCGAGATAATTTTTGGGATATTCCTGTGAATATCCTAACATGCACATTGATGAATAATCCCTATTCTGGTGAAATAGATGTCTAGTGTTTCACGATTTTAATTAGTCATCTAAATGAACCAAACTGGCGACGTAAAATACGAAATTTTCTTCGCATATTCATTAGGTTTTCAAGAAAGAATTAAGTGAACAATTGAGACTGATATTCTGGCGCATATAAATTTAGGCTTATAACCTTGTTCATAGAAAACTTGAATTTTTTTTCATTTATCATATGCTCAATAGTGACTGGTTCCATGAGGTATGTCCTGGAGTTCTAGTGAAAATCAGAAACCAGTGGAGTTTAACAAGGTGTGTTGGGTGATATCAACTCACTGTAGACATTGATGAAATGGTTGCTCAACTTCGTGGAATAATTGGAGTTGGACATTAACAGCGTTGGATGCTGGCTCAGTGGTTTATCGGTTAACTGCTCGCGTGCGAAACTGGTAGGTCCTTCGTTCGAATCTCGTGAGGCGGGATCGTAGATGCGCACTGCTGAGGAGTCCTAAAATAGGACGAAACGGTCGCCCAGTGCTTCCAGGTTTTCCATGGTGGTCTAGCTTCAATTGACTCATAATTTCAACCATATATAAAATATCACTAGAATTGTAAAAATAATACTTTCAGGATTGATTTCTTTGGAAAAAACAAATTTATATAGATATCATTTTTTCCATTATAATCCAATCAATCAGATGACTTCTACCAGCAGTCATCAAACAGAAATGAGAAAAATAGCAATTATCAGTGAGGACAAGATTTTTGTCTTATTTCATAGTGACAGATACAGACAGTTGATATCAGATTAAATTGTCTTAAAATACAATCAGGATGGCTCATTGTACTATAAACAATTATGCACACACACACACACACACAAAGGTGATATGAAAATGCAACAATAAGAAAAGATAATCTGACACTAACTCTTTCATCTCATTTTGACATATCTTAGTATAATGTATCTGTAAAATTACTTCTTATCTCGTTGATTATTTCATACAAAGTGGTAGATCCTGGGTTCGAATCTCGCGAGGCAGGATCATGGTTGCGCACTGCTGAGGTGTCCCAAAATAGGAAGAAATGGCCGTTCAGTGCGTCCAGGTTTTCCATGATGGTTTAACTTCACTTGACTTATGAATTCAACTATACATAAAAAATGTGTTATTTCTTTAGAAAACCATTTTGTTTTCTAGAATTGCTATATCTACAGCTTAGATTCTTGATATACCACATACAACTTCAGCACTCGAATGCTAGAACCATCCAACTCGCAAAATAAGAAGACAAAACATAAGTGAAAAGAATGCTATTCAAACAGTCAAATAATACAAAACTTTCAGTTATTTAAAGTCTTTATTAAAACTGAAATCATCATTATAGTCATCCAATCCGTGTAAAGTGGTTTTTACCATATATTCAATAGGGAAGCTACACATACAGATTCCGGGATGTTCATCCAACAGATGATTGGATGGATTGTCTTCGGTTCTTTCTTTAGTTCAATCGTGGGTCGTACTCATATGCATCAGTTGAATTCAGAGGCATATATTCCTCGAAATAGTCTACAAAGGTTCAGAAAAATGATGGCAACATTTTATCGACAAGGTTATATGGAACTTTAAATACAGGAGATTTCTTGTACACAACTTACTTTAAAGAAACCTTCTTACACTTCGCACCCTTTCGAATTCAATTGATTGATTATGGGAAGCAATTAGGAATTCAGAAAGTGTTTCACAAGCAGACTTATCAATGTCAATTGTTCGTTATCGTGAGCAGATGACATTCTGCCACACAATATCAAGTAATAATACGATTCGATCTACACATTTAAAAACACGCAAGCATATTTCTGTGCATTACAATCTATAAATACCTCAGTATTAATTTACCTTATAACACTAATGAATTCAAATGCACAGGTGTCAAAACTGCTCAGATTTTATTTGAGGTCAGAAAGACAAAATAATTTAAAAAATTGTTATAACCGATGAAAAAATTGAATCGCAAATGTTGGACACTAGAAACAGGTCTCATATGTACGTGCCAAAGCACATACATTGGATGAACCGAGGGAAGAGTGCATGTCCGCATTTCTGAGAATGTTCCCAAGAAACTGAGACTGCAAGGCTCTCAACAGTGCGATAGCTCGGCATTTACTCGACACCGGGCACAGCATTGACATTTCTCATGCCTCTAAAATAAATAGTAAACAAAGAAGTTCATCTGCTCTCCGGTTTCATGAAGCGATCGCGATAAAAAAAACTCAAAACGGATCTATTTATTCAAAAAGAGACAGTGATAAACTTAGTACTACCCTGGTAGTCAATTTTTCTGGTTTTCGAGATGGTCACCCACCAGTAAACCTGAAGAACAACAATAAAACAAACTCCAATATTAACATTATCATTATTCAGCATCATTTCAGTTCATTTCAAACTGATTACACAATGTAGGTAACACATCATATACTCAAACATAGAAAAACACATACATGCACATCAACGCATATAACCACACACTCACCCGGTTGATTACTCAACTCCTCATCCCATCGCCATCCGGCACTCACCAA